GTGCATGTGGAGGGAAGCTGAAGTGGCCTGCAGCAGTAGCTCAGTATCATTAGTTTGCTGTCAGTCTTTTTGTCAGCAGGTTGACACGCTGCACCCAACATGTGTCAGCTTCCATCACAGCCTGCCTCATCACTCTCACTTCACTCCAGCTGCTTTTATCCCTGKTCAAATTTCTTTTAAATGGAGATCCTGGCATTCTGTTGTAACACACAGATCTGTGAAGCTAAATTCTARAGAGCTTTAACCTGACAAAGATCACAGTTCTGAAGATAACAGGAACTTATGCTCTGTTGCAGAAGAAAAGCCATTTCTCCTTTCATCTGTCTGTTAACAGCGTTTGGGTTTTTCTRTACATGTTATACTCTATATGACACACTAGATTATTCTACACACAGACTGTCAAGTGTTAGCAACAGTACTGTACATTGTTAGTTAAATGTGCTCACGTGTGTACTTTCTCTGAGGTWATATAGTGAATGACTCCTAGCTACTACCACATTCAACTTTAGGTCAATATTTGTCTATTTCATTGGTCATGTTCAGTTATCAGTACTGTATTATTTTTTATGGAACTGAATTTGTGTTAATATAATTGTCACAAAATTAGTCAATGATATTGTTTTTAATAACTTAGCTTGAGGAAAATGCCTGAGAAAAAAATGACATTCCTCATAATACTGTATTTCTGGTGATGGTGGTCAGTGATATCATGAGCTCCAAACTAAAAAAGAAAAGTCATAATGMGGATGTTTGTGTTTGTTTTGTACTTAGATTGTTTCTTGTATTRAGTATTTGACTTCTCAGGGACCACACCTGTCACAAACCCTTGTTTTAGTACTCGACCTCAGCTCTATGTTTGTCCCCTGTTTCTCCCTCATGTTTGCATTGGCACTGACTTCTGATGAGTGCTGTTCACTGCTGACACTGATAATAAAGATTCATTCCTGAGCATCTATACTCTGGGTCATCTCTCCTGAGCCACAGAACCTGATATAAAAACTGTCCAACCTTTCTTTTTTCACGATTGCCATTTATACTGTCGGTTTAGAGACAATTTTCTGAAATTGCTCACTGTAATATACACTGCCCAGCCAAAGAAAAACAACATGTCCACCTGGATTTAACTAAGTTAAATTTGGTGTGCAGTTGGTCAGGTCTAGGTTCAGCAACAGTATGAGCTCAAAGAATGAGGTCAGCTGACCTGAATATACTAAATGACCAGGTTATTCCATCAGTGATTGTTTCTTCCCTGATGGCATGGACATATTCCAAGATGACAATGACAGGATTCATCGGGCTCTTATTGTGAAAGAGTGGTTCAGGGAGCATGAGACATCATTTTCAGAGTTAATAGAGAATATTTGGGATGTGCTGGAGAAAGTCAGACTCTACCATCATCAATGCAAGATCTTGGTGAAAAATCAATGCAACACTAGATAGAAATAAAGCTTGTGACATCGCAGAAGTTTATAGAAAGAATGCCACAGTGATTGCATGCCATAATCAAAGCTAAAGCTGGTCCAACCAAATATTAGAGTGTGTGACCTTTTTTGGTGGCAACTTGTTTTTGGCCAGGCAGTGTATGTTATTATTAATTTTACCTTTATTTATCCAGGTAGTTTTGGTGAAACACAAGGTCTTTGTTGTCAGAAAAACTGGGTTCATATGAACGTACAGGAATGTYGCTACAGATAAAAACAGTCAGTACAGAGAATAAATGTATTTAATATTTTTTTTATTAAGGCCATACCAGAGCAGAACACAAAAAGCAAGGACAAATTGCCTTTTCCATTTATTAGCACTAAGCTGCACATTTTTATCTCTTTCTTCATACTCGTGTGTTTTATGTCTGATGTCATGACTGATGAGGAACTAACCTTTAATCATCATTTGTCATACCTTTAAGATTTACCACATTAAACATTGTCTGATGGCACATTTTCCTCCTTGCTTGTTTTCTGTGTGTGTGTCAGCTGAAGCAGGCAGGCACCATGTGCCGGGGGCCAGCGGGGGCATGTGACCTGCCAGAATACTGCACRGGGGCCTCCCCTTACTGCCCCTCCAATGTRTACCTGCTTGATGGCTCTGCCTGCCAGTACGGACTGGCCTACTGCTACAACGGCATGTGCCTCACTCATGAACAGCAGTGCCTGCAGCTCTGGGGCTACGGTGAGCAGAAAACACCCATCTCTTCTCCACTTTAAGGAATATTAAATAAATCTAACGTGCATGTCACTTAGTATCTGAAGCGTGATTTATAGTGTGTTTATTGAGCTTCTGCATCCTGTAATGAACAGGTGGCTGACCCATTTGTTCTCAAAGGATTTCTGAGTCAGCATGTTAGCGTTTGTTCTTTGTAGCAAAAAAGCAAAGTTAGTTCCAGCAAGCGTGACCAGCCTGAGTCCACTGGACTGAAGCGGGGTGTTTGTGTTTCCAGGAGCTCGACCAGCTCACGACGCCTGCTTCGAAGACGTCAACGCAGCAGGAAACGCTTTTGGGAACTGTGGGAAAGATGAACACAGCAACTACAAGAAGTGTGACAAAAGGTAGGAGAAGCTGTGCAGGATCAGAGCAAAAGTTTTAATTACAAAAAAATTTTTTTTAATTACATCATGGAAAAGACTTCATGAAATCAGTGTCTTTGGACTTCATTTAGTCAAGAAGATCCTTCATTATCTGTTGATGTAGTGGTTAAGACGAGGAGTTGAGTTGCTTCCAAATTAAAGAAAATTAATACAAGCTTCATTTAAAATAAAGCAAGAAAAAACACATCTAATGTTTCAACAATCAAAACTAGGAATGCACCGATATGAAAATTTCAGCCAATATCGATAWCAGATATTAACATTGGTGTTATGGCTAATGACCGATATTTACAGATATTACACAAACACACAAATTATTTATATATAAGTATACAGTATGTACYCACAAACACACTTTTGTCTTTTTTTGATACTGTAAAAAATGACCAAAGTGCTGACATGGCTCTCTACTTCAGTTATTCCTGGCTGCACAGCATCACTATCACGATCAAACAAATACCACTCGACCATCTCCCCTCCCAAAACTGAAACACAAAGGTAAAAGGTGGGACATCATTATCAGACGTTAATAATTTTCCTTATCAGTCCAATACAGATATTTTAAAAAATTACCAACATTGGCCAGTACCGATGTTACTGCTGATATATCGTGCAGCCCTAACAAAAACTAAAACAGAAAATAAGACAACGTCATTTCACCTTCAAATTTACCTGCACAGAAACCTACACAACTCCTGACAAGCTTCTGATTTTTTCAGAAAAACAAACTGATAACAGATGTATTAGTTTGTTTTTCAGAAAAACAAACTAATACATCTGTTATCAGTCAGCAATGTAACTGTCCCTTTATTTGTTCAACTAATTCCTAAACAGAGTAGACAATTTCTCTGCATGAAGAAACAACATTTCATCTGACTACAGCAACAGTCAAACAAACAAACAACATTAATAATAAAAAGAAAAGCAWAATGTAACATGGCCAAATCAGATCAAATTATAATGTATGGTCACATTTAAAATTCTCCTCTCACATCTCTTATGTTTTGTAGATAGAAATGTGTGATACAAGAAACATCCATCCATTTTCATCTTTTCATTCAGGCACAGATTGAAGTCAAGATGCCTTAAAAATTCTTAAATGTAAAAACATAAAGTATAAACTTGTACTGTTGATCATTCCTTGTTGGTACTCTTCTGGGTATCAGCTGGAGCAACACAGCTGATGTAGATTTTTAGGTCCGTTTCTGCACTCAGGTCAGAGAGTTTAAAAGGTTCAGGAGGGAAACCCTGACGTCCCTTTGCTCAGTGACACTCTCCAGCTCCTCCTGGAGATCTCAAGACTTTCTTAGGACAGAGAAGAAACATATTCCGCKCAGGGAGTTTTAGTCCTGTCCCACATTCTCCTCCCAGTGAACCAGATCTGGAAAACCTCCAGAGGGACATGTTCAGGAGGCATCATAACCAGAAGAACAAATTACCTCAGATAACTTCCTGTGATCATGGACACTCAGCAACTAGATTTCCTGCGAATGATGGAGCTCGTCACCTATCTCTAATACTGAGTCCAGAACCTTTCAAAGGAAGCTCGTTTTAGCTGCTTGTATTCCAGAATTTTGTTTGTTTGGTTTGCACATGATCCATCCAGGTGGAAGAAGGCGATCCTGGTAACATTTTTAATGTGGGGGTTAAAAGACATATCCTGATCAAAAATAACACCAAGTTTCTTTACATTAGAACTGGAGGRCAGATTAATGCCATCCAGGGGAGGTGAAAGGCTGCAAAGTTGATCCCTAAGATGTTCAGGTCCAAAAACCATAACCTCTGTCTTATCTGAGTTTAGAAGCAGAAAGTTAAGAGTTATCCATGTTTTTACGTCTGTAAGACATGCTTGTAGTTTAAGTAACTGGTTGGATTCATCAGGTTTCATGGATAAATATAACTGAGTATCATCAGCATAACAATGGAAATTTATCCCATGCTGTTTAATAACTTTACCTAATGGAAGCATATATAAAGTAAATAGGATTGGTCCAAGCACTGAACCCTGACTAATTCTGGTGTTAGCAGAAGATTCATTATTAACATTAACAAACTGAAATCTATTAGTTAAACAAGATTCAACCCATTTTAGAGCTGTTCCTGTAATCCCAATYTCAAGTTCAAGTCTACGTAATAAAATATTGAGATCAATTGTATCAAATGCAGCACTGAGATCTAACAGGACAAGAATGGACACAAGTCCACTGTCTGAGGCCATGAGAATATCATTAGTAACTTTCACCAGTGCTGTTTCTGTGCTATGATGAGCTCTACACCCTGACTGAAACTCTTCATATAGATTATTTCTATCCAGATGTTCACATGGTTGATTTGCAACTATTTTCTCAAGAATTTTTGAGATGAATGGGAGATAAGATATACAGTAGGTCTATAGTTGGTCAGAACTCCTGAATCAAGATCAGGTTTCTTAAGTAAAAGTTTAATTACWGCAACCTTAAAGRTCTGTGGCACATAAWCATTCATTAYAGATAAATTAAGTARATCTAAAATATYGATATTAATTAAGGGAAATGCTTCTTTGAACAGTCTGGTTGGGATGGGATCTAGTAAACATGTTGATGGTTTGGATGAAGAGCTATTATTTTAGATAATTCAGAGAGCTCAACAGGACAAAAACTGTCCAGACATAAATCAGGTTCTAGTGACACTAAAGCTGCCCCATCTGACAGCGAATCAGAGACAGTTGCAGGAAGTTTGGCATGAATGTTATTCCTTATTAAACTTATTTTATCTATAAAGAATCTCATCAAGTTATCACGACTTAAAGTTATAGGGAAATGATGTCGAGTGAAAGCGGAGGACACAGTCTTTGTTCAGTTATCTATACTGAATGTAGAAACTGTGTGCTGACACATTAGTCCTGCAGACTTCAAGGTCACATTCTTARGAGTAGTTCAGCTTGTTTCCTCGTCTCGAAGTGGCTACAGGTCACCTTCAAGAGTCTGTTGTCATCAAACCTCCAAGTACACTTGTGCTGAACTGCAGAATGCAAGATTTGATGCTTGGTCCTCTAGCACCCAGAGTCAAGCCCTCTGTCCTCTCAAGCTTCAAGAGAGCTAAATTAGCAATTTAACAATGCAAATGAGATTGTGGATTACAGTAGTTGATGGCTGTTTGCATGAGCTGCTGAGGCTCAGATTTACTGTATAATGGAATCTGACATGAGGAATGAAAACGTTTCTGACCGCAGTCACTGAGCTGATTACAGGATATGTAAATATGCCTGATGGAAAGCATCTACACACCACTGTCCTCTGTAGTTTCCTCCTCCAAGGTGCTTTGATTATTTGATAGCAGCATTGCTCAAGACATTAAACATGAGTGGGGGGTTTTTCTGGACATGGAGCACATCTCAAGATATAGTGTTTTATTTACTTTTATTTAGATAGGTTATCTTCATGAGAAAGGTAGTCTCATTTACAAGAGAAACCCACACAAACACATAACATCAGTTAGACAAAAAATATAAAACATTGTGTTGACATTTAAAAGAGAGCAAAGTTGAACAAATTTAATCTAAAAACAAGAACAAGTATGAAATGATGATTTTTCCTTTTTTTTCAAATGTGTGTAAAATGTCCCATTGGGTTCGAACTAGACAGTCTCAGTTCTTGTTGCTGTGAATTCCAGGAAGATGGAGGATAGATAATAGGAGAAGACCTTTGATCTAAGTTCTGTGTGAACTATGAGAACACTGATAGAAATAAAATCCTGAGAATGTAGACTGTGACAGTTCTGTCTTTGTGACATCGTGGAATGTAGATCGGAGGCAGCAGGCCCGGGTGCCTCCAAATGGCAGTCCACTATTCCATGTGTGCTCACACATGCAATGGGAAAATTTCAGGAAATAATTTTCCCTACTGAAGGAGAATAAAGTTTAATAAAATAAAAAATAAAGAAATAATAGGGTAGAAGTCTGTGGATAGATAATGATGGCCAGTTTACCAGYGAGTACAGGGTACAGTGGCATGTAAGTGGTTACATTTTGTTATTAATCTCAATGCTACATAGTAAGCAATGTCTAACATATGCAGAGAACTGGCCGGGGCATTCATGTAAACAACATCACCATTAGTGGTAGGAAGGTTGTCGACACAAGGTGTTTACAAGCCACTAGAGAGAAACATTAAGTATTTCTAAAGAAAAGCTTCTTAGCTTCAGTTGTTAAAATAAATTTGGTTAATGTGACATTTGAAGGAGAGGTTTTATCAATGACAATACCAAGATATTTTTAAGTCTCTACAAAATCTGTAGCTTAGCCATTAAAAGATGTAATATGAGGTATGGTTTGTGGCACTTTTTTGTTTGCAAATATGGTCTTTGAATGAGTTTAAGTTTAAGTAAGTCTGTTTGGATGGAGTCAAATGCAAGCTGCAGGCGCTCAAGAACCATTGAGACTGACTTTGCTTAACAAAGGTGTCATCAGCATATAAATGCATACTGGTCTCAGTAACATTTCCCCAACATTAATGACATAAATGGAAAACAGTAAAGGTTCCAGAAAGGAACCTTGTGGGACAACTTTCATAATTTTCAAAAGATTTAGTAGTAATTTTAAATAAATGGTCAAGAAGTAACTGCAGTTATTTAACAGCATGTTTTTCATCTTGATTAAATTCTGCAGAATTTTTTTCATATGTTTCTCCATCACAACCTCAAAAAGACCTTTTTATCGTACACACAGTGCTTGTTCCTCCATCGTGCAAAAACTTGCAGTCCAGTGAGTGTAAGGTTCAGTTTCTGGTCCAAGGACACGTTGACATGTGCATTGAGCGTGAATCTAACTGCTGAGCAGGTGTTGGTGTGTGTGAGTGCATGCAATTAATCTCTAAAATCATGAGCACTTTGATCCATGAGATCTAACATCCTCTGGGAGTTTTTGACATGTTGTAGCAATAAGCTTTACAAGTTCACATTATTACCTGGCTTTGTTTTCTCAGGTTACATACAGCCAGGCTATAACAATGATTGGTGGAGGTCTCAGAGTGCTGTGGCGCCTTCAACTGTAGTCCCATAAAGTTTACTTTAATGAAAGGCCTAGAATTKTTTGAAGGAATGCATATCGTCTGCTGCCTTTCAAGGCAGAGTTTTAAACTAAAATCATCTCATGAAAACTGGCAGAGTTGTAGACGTTTTGATCCAACCTTGAAATGTGTTTTGAAACTACTGCTTTGTTTAAAGTCACTGGTAAAATCACTATTGTGCTAAAACCTTGCACTTTACATTGAAAACCATTTTTGCAGGTGAAATTTTTTTAATTTCTATAGTTACTGGTTTTAATCATTGTTTAATGATGTGTGCTACTGGGCCTAGCAAATAAGATCTTTATGTTTTTGTTTTTTTAATCCAGTTAAACAAAGGAAATAAATAAGGAACTGAAAATAAAGTTTTACACTATCTTAGGTAATAATGGGACATGTAACAGCTACCACCACATCAGATTTTTGCTCAATACTGTATGTGTAAAARTGACATTATTATAGCCCATTTTGTTTCGTTGTTTTCATAAGATGGCAGTGGCTGCCATATTGACCCCAAAAGGAAGTAAATTGTAAAAGTACTTCCAGTGATTACTTTCTACAAYCTTTCTTAAAATGTGTCTAGTTCATGAGTTACTGCACTTTGGTAACAGACAGACAAACACAAGCTCACTGACACACACACAGGCAAAAACATTATTGTTCACCTTCACCTATTGGTGGATGGTGATAAAGGTCACCCGCCACCAGTCAGTTCTCGTAGTTTGACTCTTTTCTATTGTTTTACAGACATTTCTTACTCTTTAGCTGACAAACACAGTCCTTTTTGCTCAATGAAAACTGCTCAATAACTTTTTCAACAAGACAACACAACATTGGTGATACTGATCAAAACAAGACTTCTGTTTATTTYCTTTTGTTTTTGCCCAGTGATGCCAAATGTGGTAAAATCCAGTGCCATAGTGCTGCCAAGAAGCCCAAAGGCACCAACGCTGTTTCCATTGACACGACCATCCGGACCGATGGTATCGAGGTAAAGTGCCGTGGGACTTACGTTTACAGCACTCAGGATGGCCAGGGAGACCTGCCTGACCCGGGCCTCGTCATGACAGGAACCAAATGTGGAGAGGGAAAGGTTGGTACTGAACACACTGGGTTTTGAACTGCTGGGTTATTTTAAAATTCCAGTTTAAAACAACCTTTTGGTTTTTGAAACAGTTTATTTTTTTTACTTTAAATACTAAATTCTGCTGAGGCTTATATTCAGCTGTTTTTATTTCAAAAAATGTTGCATATTATACAATATTTATACAGTGATGATGGTTTATGATGGAGTAATGTGACAAAGAACCTGCTGATTAATGTGAATTCCAGTGACTAAATCTGCTGAGTCACTGGTTTCCATTGTGATTTACACATTTTTCTGAGGAGCGGAAGTAGCACTTCTCATCAGACTAGTYGGAAGCGATAAGGGCTGTGAATTGGCAAGAATTTGGTGATATGATACACATCATGACACAGGTGTAGTGGTCATCTAGGGGTGGAATAAACAGTTCCACCTGTCTTTGACCTTGGTCTCAGAAGGCTTCCTTCAGAGACAGAACTCCACCCCTAGGTGACCGCTACACAGGGGTCACAATACGATATATCATGATATATTGCGATGTATTMCAATATATTGCCATTTTTCTCCAAAAATTCTAATTTAAAACAAACTKAGTTTATTTTATATGTTTACTCACAATGCTAATGTTTTGATCTAGCTCTAAAATTTCTGTCTCTTTAGGAGTGGAGGAGCCAAATGGCTGTTTGACTGCTGCCAACTAGCAGTCGGAGGCTAAATTACAACATAAGAATGAGCTGCTGGCATGAAAGTTTACATTTTAAGCCTCAATTAAAAATTGATACAGGYCTTAAGAGAATTGATACAGTATTGGGAAATTACATATTGTGATTTTTTTATCAATATTTTGTTACATCCCTAGGAGAGCTACAACTGAAGCCTCAGAGGTACTGTCACTGTACAAAAACTATAAAGTGTATCAAAAATATTTGGACTGCAAAACCTTTAGGAAATCCAGTGGATTTTACTGCAAATCTCAGTGAACTAAAGCAATGTTGTAASAGGAGTGGGCCAAAATCTTACAACTGTGCGAGACTGTTAAAGTGATTAGAAACATCTAATCAGAGTTTTTGCTGCTAAAGAAGATTTTAAAAGCTGGTGGATTGTGCATTTAGACTTTTCCATTTTGACTTTGCTTTTAATGAACTAAATGTTTGAATCTGTTGTGGTTTTGTAACTCAATGTTAGATATGAATAATTTTAGAAACTGGTAAAAACTGGATCATTTTATAATCTGAGAGGTAAAAACCTTTGAAAATATATGGCTGGATAAATGCGGCTTCTTTTCAGCAGAATACCACAGCCTCCCACACAGTGATAATTAGTTCAGGATTTGTTTGAATATTAAAAGAAGCTATTTAAGGTGCTGCTTTATTCTCCAGATATCAGACCAATTAAGTATCTGTGCTAAACAAGCAGATCGATTCCTCTTCATCTACTGACAGTATGGTGTCATAAWTCCACCACAGAGATCCAGAAGTCTAGAACAGTTTTATGACGTGATGGACTGTGTTATTTGTTCCTACTGGATGTTAGGATGTAGTTGTATAGTTTTAGTTTACACATGTATTTTCATACATGTACTATATAGTTACCTGCTATATTAAGTCTTAAAATTAAGTTTAAAAAGTTAAACGAGCACAGAGTATAGGCAGATGTCTTCATGCTGGCTTAGCTAATGGCTAGCCAAACAAGTGTTTTCCAGGCCRACAAAAACTTTGTCTCAAGGACGACTTACTGGTGTGGAACACTATGTTAGCTACAATTAAACTTCTAACTTTTACATGACAGACKCCCTTGGTTTAGTTTGTTATTGCTTTAACTCATCATGTACCCACTTTCACAGAAGAATTGGGCAGAGTTCCTCTAGACGACTGCCAAACCACAGTGAAAGATCAAGCTCATTTATTTAGTTGCAGCAATCTCACTGTCAGTGTTCGAGTCAGRCCAAACATTTGCTCAGCTTCCAGCAGACTGATGCATTCGGCAGCCTCAGCACCATCGACATAAACATCATCTATGACTGTGTCCAAATTCAGGGGCTGGGTTCAGCCTACCTGTCTAGGTGGGCCAGATCCTTGGTCAACTGCGAAGACAGGAAAAAGTGGCTGTGAATTTGGACGGTCTAGCCTTCTGCTTTATTTCCGCCCTTACCCCAGCATATGTCCTGTCACCTAGCAAACATGACAACACTAAACAGAAGCAAAATAGATATAAATTATCAAAATATCAAAATATTAGTATCATTAATATTATAAAATCACAAAATTAACTCCTTGGCAATATTTGAAGTGCACATGTTTATTTGTCTATACCAGCTCGTTTGATTTCTGACAAGAATAATATTTAAAAACCGTGTCAAATGACAAAAGCWTTAACAACACAACCACTTGAAACTTTTAATATTTATGCAGCCAGAGTTTTATTTAAAACTGTACTTCTTTCTCTCGCTTTGTAAGAGCAGGAAAAAAATCTCCAGTCGGCCCGCAATGCATTATGAGATATGGTGGACCAAGAGGGATGTATCGGACCCATCCCTCAAATCYTAGCAAAAGGAGGCCGCATTTTTCGGCTGCATTGGAGGAGTTTTCAAATTTGGACAGCCTCTGGCGTGTTGCTGTGACATAAGCGGCCGACAAATTTTCAAGTTGTGATATAATTTCAGTGGCATGACTTTGGTCAGTACAATTATGAACTATTAAGCTACTGTTTATCTGAAGCAACTAGTGACTCCACCCCCTAACRAGTCAGTAACTGACAATGTTCTAACATCACATTTTCAGGCCAGCACAGTACAGTTGGAACCACAARGAAGTAGGTACTAAAAAGGAGGCTGGTTCCACAAATCCTGGATAATGGAAATGGATTGGAACTGTGCAGAGAAAAAGCCAAACCATGCTGTGGATAAGATAAGATAAGATAAGATAAGATAAGATAAGATAAGATAAGATAAGATAAGATAAGATAAGATAAGATAAGATAAGATAAGATAAGAT